CCCCTAAACCCCTAAACCCCTAAACCCTAAAACCACAAAACCCTAAACCCTTAAACCCCTAAACCCCTAAACCCTAAACCCCTAAACCCCAAACCCCTAAACCCTAGACCCCTAAACCGCTCCTTAATAGTTCCTTCTTGGGATTACCTTATAGGATTCTAAATACCAACCACAAAAAGGAACTACTTGGGAGCCTATGGGTAAACCCTAAAGCCTAAACCCAAGCCAAGCCCCAAGGCTCGGAGCTCCGGACACGAGCATCGGCGGCTGCTCGGGCCTTTTGATGGCCGACTCAGACGGAAGGGTCTTCCACGGACGCAACATGGACTATGTCTTCCAGCTACTTACTAGAATACTACTGTAAAAACCCAATAAACCCTAAACCCCAAACCCTGCTTGCTATAAGGGTTCTATAAGGGTTTCGGGTTAAGGGTCACAGTGGGCGGCCCTTTTTACCTTGTTCTGGTCTTTGGTTCCTTATAAAAACTACCGAATACCTAAACCCGAAATCCTAAAAAGGGCACGTACAGTCGCATGCTATCTCTCCAAAGCAGACCTCGCCGTGAGCATCGTCCTCAGCAATGTGAGAGGGAAAAAAAGGGGGTGCCCTTGTTATATGGGTAGTTCTCTAAAGTGGGGTCCCTTTTTGGGCCCCCAAATATAGTACGGCACTCTTATAAAAAAGGATCCTCAAAGGGATCCTAATTTAGAGAACTACTCATATGCAAAGCCTACCGGAGATCCCAGGTTTCGGATGCCGGACGGCCGAATCCTCGACCTCCCAGATGTCACCTTCACAGCTGCTAGGTAGGGCCTTTGGGACATTTTGCATGTTTCTTGATTAGGGTTTAGGGTTTTGGGGGTCTTATGTTGCTGATTAGGGTTTAGGGTTTAGGGGTCTTCTGTTGCTGATGGTTGCGAGAGGCTTTGCAGAGACAGCCTAGGCGAGATATTGGAAGGATGGCAAAGTATTGATGCTGGCTCCATCATTCCTAGGCTGGGTTGGCATCCACACGGGCATGCGCATGGACGGCTGGACCTTTGAGCAGAACATGCGTCATCCCCTAGACCGGGCGAAAAGCCTTCAAGCTTTCAAGGCTGGGAAACTCCGGGCGCAGTAGCAACCTTTGGCTCTTTTTTTCTGGAAACTCATTCTTCGTTGTTTCCTTCATAGCGCCGAGTATATCATACCATTAAAGCCTGAACCCCTAAAGCCCGAAACCCCTAAACCCTAAACTTCCCCAGTGTAGCTGGAATTCTCGGGCACCTAGGAAGGGAGATCTCTATGGTTGGAGGGTGAGACAGATCATGGAGACCAGCCCGACATATCAGGGCGCCCTGACGAGCCTCACGAACACAAGGGTGATGGCACCCATGTACTTCATCCTCTCCGGCAAAGGCAAGTATGAGGGCGCAGTCATTACCAAGGATCTCGGTGACGACCACTTGGCAGGCACTCCAGAGGTCCGGCAGTTGAATGAGGCGGATGGCACGTGGTATCTTCTGCAGACCAACGACGACGTAAATAAGTTGCCGGAGGATTCGCGACGACCCGCCT